TGGCCGTGGACGACATGTGACTCTGAACTACCTATTTGCAGCCTTGGCCTAAAAGCCTGAGAGAATTGTCCTTCATGCACCAGTCCTTTGCTCTGGTGCCATCCATGTGCACTAAGCTTCTTAGGTACCTAGTGGGAAGAAAGTTTCCAGTGAATCAGTCCCAGGAGGGGTAGAGGCCTCGTGAACGGAGATCACCCAGTTGGGAGGGATCCTGAAACATAAACTCTCCACCCCTTGCTTTTGGAGGCTTCTTAACCACTGCCCTATGGATAACAGTGCAGATTCAACTGAACTATTAGTTTTCTCCTAGGGTAAACCATTATATATCAACAATCAGTGTGCAATTGAGAAAATTACTCATAGGATTTATTATTTTTTTTTAAAGGTATTATTATTATTTTTTTCCCCAAAGCCCCAGTAGATGGTTGTATGTCATAGTTGCACATCCTTCTAGTTGCTGTGTGTGGGACGCGGCCTCAGCATGGCCGGGGAAGCGGTGCATCGGTGCGCGCCCGGGATCCAAACCTGGGCCGCCAGTAGTGGAGCTGGCGCGCACATAACCGCTAAGCCATGGGGCCAGCCCTACTCATAGGCTTTAAAAAACCACATTTGAAAACTGAATGTGATGGTAGAGATGATCAGATCTCAGATCAGACGTTTAAAAACGGCCAGATATTAAATATGTTTTTGAAAAATCAGAAAAATAAATGGGTCTATACTTTTAGAAAAAATCTAATGAGAAATATTAGAATGTTTATCTCACAGTTTTGAACTCAAAGTGATTGGTTTATTTCCTTTCTGTCACCAAAATTCTCCAGGCCCTTACAATATACCCCTTTACAACTATTTCTAGACATTCCCAAGGGTTTCTCATAAGCTCAAGAGAAGACTCTGTTAGGCACCCCTGTTGACCTGCTCTGTTTCCTAAGCATTGCATTCTTTCCTATGGGCATCTTTGAACCATCTCTTGTTCACTGAGCAACTGTCGGATATAGCTGTGTCTGTCTGTGCCCGCCTCCCACTGAAGTCATGCCTCTGCCTTTGCTATGAAAGCAATGATCCACACTCTAGGCCAGCTAGGGCCCTCGTGGGACCAGAACGAGGCTTGTTCTGTGCAAAACTGGGGAGAATGCCCAACCTCCGCACTGTGTCACCCTGTGTCAGTTGGGGGTCTAAGCCATGTTGCGTGTGCTCCTCCTCAAAATAGCCCTTTGGCTTCTGTCAGCCCCTCTTCTTCCTTAGGGCTTGGGGTGGGACAAGTGACATCTTTCTGCCTTCTCTGTTTCCCCTTCTCTCCCTCTGACCTTCATGCTATAGCAGAGACTGGGGGTTGGTCTGTTTATTGAAAATGCCAGTTAAAATGGGGTATCATAAAGAATGATGCAAGTGTATATAAGCATTTTAATTTAAAACATATAAATATACGTTCTTTTACCACTCTTTTGATGTAAAAGGCCCTTTCTTTGAGTAGAGGAAGTCTTTCTTATATAACGACAACCTTAATGTGTATCCATTGGTTCTGTTTCATGTTAGAAAACCAGATATGTGAAATGCTGGGTGTTTAAAGATATTTTTTCTAATCTCCTAGCGTCATCTTGCCCACACCTAATTTTTTTTTTTTGCGACTCGCCCTTATGGACTCTTTCCAAAGCAGTTAACCTAGTTTTCACCGCAATAATAACTCCTTGTTTCACACTTATTGCATCAGCTCATGTACTTTTAAATTAAATTACATAATTAGAGTAACAGATACAATTGTCACAGAAAGGTTTGGGAACATGATGCTTCTTGATGACGTCCGACTCAACCGCGGGGGCAGCTGTGCGCGCACAAGCTGTGTGTGTCCTGTGCCCCGAGTGACCTGTAGCAGGCAGGTGGTCGGTATGCTTCACAGGAGTGGGGAGCCCTGAATCGAGTGAACCAGCTGGCTGCAGGCCGGTTACTGGCGTCTGCCGGGTGACCTGCATCCCTCTCATCATTCAGCCCCAAGGGAGGCCTCAAGCAAATCTCCTCTTGAGAAGAGAAGTGACTGATGCAGGGCTGGGCCTGGTCGGTTAGACATGCTTAGGCAGGCCAGCACCCCAAAAGTAGGCCAGACTGAAAACATTCACAATCTTCTAAGCATTCAAAAACCACAGAACTTGTTTTTTTCCCTGCAGGTGAACAGGACCATCCTGCCTGTTTTCATGTATAAACAGGTTGACTTATGTCCCTGAATCAGGATTATAGAGAAACATGGCTTCTGTTTCCTTAGCTGTGAAAACTGCCTTTTTGGAGGCCATCCAAGCCAGAACTTAAAATTTAACTTTTGCTTTGGTGCCACCAAGTGGTTATTTTTGAGATACCATTCTCGAGGAAAGATGGCTTGACAAACAAAGAAAAAAAAAAAAAAATCCGGGGTTAACAGGCAGAACACAGAGAATTTTTAGGGCAGTAAAACTACTCTGTATGATACTACAATGGTGGATACATGTTATTATTCATTTGTCCAAATCCGTGGAGCGTACAACACCAAGAGTGAACCCTAATGTAAACTGTGGGCATTAAGTACCACTGTGATGGAGGATGTTGGTAAGGGGAGAGGCTATGCATATGTGGGGCAGGAGATATATAAATCTGTCTTTCTGCTCAATTTTTCTATGAATCTAAAGCTGCTTTAAAAATAAAGCTTATGAATAAAAAAAAATATTCCATTTGAGATACATTTTCCCTTTTCGCTACTGATGTTGCAGGTAAGAGCAAGGTCAGACAGAGACATCATCTAGGAAGGCTGGCTGACTTCTCAGGCATGGATGACAATCCCTTCATGAAGTTCCCACATTCCAGAGTCTGGGTCCTTAGCTTCATAAATCCCAGAAACCTTTTATTTTTTCAGTGTATCCAGAATTACTCAATTTTGCAGGGTTATATCATACTCACCAAACTTATGAGAGACTTGTTGATAAGTCAGAATGCCAGTGCATTACTTTATGATTAGAAATGTACATATAGTGGTAGACGAAAACACATGTTAGCTGAGCGGGTCATTTTCCACCCTGTAGGAAATTTATGTGGGAAGACAAATTATACTGAGTAGGTTGGTGAAATCGCAGTGGGGTGGGGGGTGTGTGGTAAAGGGAGTGGGGGGCATAAGGTTGTGTATCTTGAAGGTGTGTACCGTTAACCTGAGACCAACTTGACCACTTTAGATCTATACATGACCCTGAGCTGAGAATACTCATGTTGCTGGGAAGGACAGAATCCTGGATGGTGCTGATGACAGACTGACTTCATCTTTTTCTTTGGATATTCTTTTGGAAACTCTGTGCTGAGCATCTTGCTTCTGTTAATCCATTCTTCCTTCAGACTGGGTACAGTGTAATTGGCAAGGCCTACGCTGTAGACTTGCTGATGTAGCTCTGGTCTCCTGAGAATCTCTCTGGTCACCATGATTAGCATTAGCATCATCAGCCACCGTTTATAGGTTTTTGCTTAGCGGAGCTGGTCTGCTTATCTCATGATAATTTTTAATAATTTCATTCTCAGAGGAAAACTTATGTTTTTTGTTTTGGTGATTCTGTCCCTGAATGCAGGTTAAAGTTAATATGTAAAATCCTCAATCACTTTGGAGTAGATTCCCAGTAGCAAAGCAGTACTTGCTGAAGATGGGAATTATTCTAGTTCTAAGTCAGTAAGAATGTGTCACTTGATGTCTATGTCTTGAGAGCTTTGTACAGACCTCACTACCTGCTTGTATTTACCAGCCGGTCCTCGGAGTCCTCACTGGCGCTCAGTTATCTCCAGGTCTTGGTGCAGCGTTCTCTCCCTGCACCCCCACCTCTACCCTCGCCCCAAACTGCTGCCACATAGACTCCTCAGTCAAGGGGACTCAGGGATATTTGCAGAAGTTATAAATCAATGGCCTGTGATTGGAATCTGATCCACAGATCTTTTATTTTTGCCAATATGTTGTTTTTAAAAGTTTGACTTAATTGCTAAAACTTAAAAAATAGGATATTCATACAAAATTCTGAACATCCAGTTTCTTTGCAAACAAGTAGATCTGGCTTTGCAGGTCCTACCTTCACACAGGGCAGTGAGTTACTGGAGTGGCCCGGATGGGGCACGCCCCTTCCAGTGATCTCAATGCCCACCCTACCCTCTCACTCATTTACGTTACTGCTTGGTATTGGGAGGTGGCTCTTGGTGCACTGGCAAAACAAAAATAGAACACAAAACTAGTGTAAGGAAAGGAGCGGCTTCCTGGGGACTCTTGCTCCCTGTTCTCTTGTCTGCCTTCGGAGGAGACTTCCTTCCTGGGAACCTGTTCCAGCCTCTTTAGGACCCTCCTTCTCTCAATGTGTCACCTCTGGATTTATCCCTTGTGCTTCCGAGAGGCGTGGTGTTGGAGTGTTGTTGAGGAAGCACGCAGACTTTGGGATCACAAGACCTGGATTTGAATCCCAGCTCTGCTTCTTCCCGAGTTCACTTTCCTTTTCTGTAGAACGAGGGCTATAACTTGCCTCATAGGTTGCTACGAGTGTTAAATGGGATTTTGTATATAAAGCATCAAGCAGAAAGTAGGTACTCAAATAATAGTGTCTCTGTCCCTCACTTTTCCCAAGACATGACTCTTGCCCTTCTTCACGACCTGATAAGTCCAGCTGAACTTCCGCCTCTGCTCTCCTGTCATGCACACCTCTATACTCTTACAATAAAGCCAACTGTTTTATTTTTTATTCCTTATAACTTCCAGTGTTTCCCATCTGTACATTTCACTTATTCCTTTTCCTTTTTTGTAGCCAGACCTCTGATAGAGACTCCCCTATGAGAATAACAGATGGCAGATGAATTTATTTTGTTTTGGGCAATTCTGTATGAATTCTATAAGAAGGCCTTTTATCAAATCTCTGCAATAATTGTACATAGTCTTGTGGTGGAAACTACATTAGCTTTTATAGCAGTCTGTGGGAATTCTTTCTGAATATATATAACTTTCCTCATCCATTGTTTGTTTATAGAAATAGAGCCAAGGTCAAAAGCTGGCAAGTCATCAGTAGGAAAAATTGGTACTGCAAAGGGGACACTTCGCCTGAGATCAAAAGGTCCTGCCACCGTGGAAGAAGTGGTATGTTATGTTCGTTTAATTCCCATTCTGCTTGGAAATGTGTGGGAATTCGTGTTTATTAGAGCTGGAAATAAAGGTAAAATCACGAAGTTCAATAAAATACCATAGATTCTACTTAAAGCGTGGACTTTAAGTCATTGCCTACTGGAACAATATGAAAATTATTGAGGGTATTTAAAAAAGAAGTATAGAAACTGAACACCTAAGAAGAGATTGTGATCTATAGCAACCTTTCCAGAGTCTCTAGACATCAGGACTGGCTCAAAAAATGTAAAAGAAATCAACCAAGCTCTGAGAGACAAGAAAACTCTGTGAGAGTGAACATACTTAAGATTTTGGTGATGAAAGATTGTATTCATGAGCTCCAGTCTCCTCAAGTAAAGCATTTTGTAGTCATCTTTGACTCTTCATGTCCCACGTCCCTTCCATCAGCAAATCCCGGTGGGTCTACCTCCACAATATACCAGAATCCAGCCACCACCTCTGCCCCCACCACCCTGGCCCAAGGCACCAGCATCTTCTCTTGAATTTCACAGTCACCTTCTGGTCAGTCTTCCTGCATTCACCCTTGCCCTCCCTCCCTCGCTGCTCAGCACAGCAGCCAGAATTACCCTTTAAAAACACAAGGGAGATTATGTTCTTTTCTGTTCAAAACCCTCCAGTGGCTTCCCATGTCACTCAGAATGAAAGCTAAAGTCCTCAGAGTGACAAACATACTCTGACTCTCATTTCTTCTCTGACCTCCAGCAGAGAAGGTCCCCCAGCATCCCCCCTGCCTCAGCCACATGGCTCTCCTCACTGTCCAGACACTCAGCTGTGTCCCACTTCAGGGTCTTTGTACTGCTGTGTCCTCTATCCAAATGCTTTGCCCATTTATTGGCATGGCTCGCAGACTTGCTGCCTTCAGGTTTCTGCCCACATATTAAGACGGCCTTCTCTGAGCATCTTGTATAAATAGCAGTTCCCACCACCCCTCCCACCACTCAATCCTCCTTGGCCTTAATTTCATCAAAGTGCTAAACACAATAGGACTCGTCATATCTTTATTTCATTTTTGTCTATTGTGAGCTCCTTTGCTCACGTCTTGTTCACTGCGGTATCCACAGCACCTAGGACAGTACCTGACACATCAAAGGAGCTCAAATCTTTGCTGAATTAGTGAATTAATAAGTGATTCATTTAAGCTTGAGAAGAGTAAGGGTTTCGCTGATTGACTGGGTCGCTATTTGAGTGAAAAACACCAGAAGGAGAGGAGACGGGTGGAGGGAAGAGGGTGGAACAGGACGGCAGGGGTGAGGGGCGGCAGGGGAAAGGATTCCCAGCGTCAAGGGCAGCTCAGGCCCACGCACAGCAGTGGAGACAGTGGTGATGAAGTCACCCTGCAGGCGGAGGGGAGGTCAGGCAGGCGCTGAGGCTCGGGAGCTGCAGGCAGCGGCACAGACACCAGCCCGTCTGGTCCACTGTGTGCGCGTATTGTCCTAGGTTCTCCATGTGATTGCAGAGCAAAAGGGTGAGACAGGTGAACGGCCGGGAGGCTGTTTTCACAGAGGGGGATCCCAGAGCTTGTGGGGCGATGATGTCCAGCGTCGGTCTTGGGGGTGGTTTGTTGGAGCAGACACTCAAGGAGCCATGAGGCCAAGGTTGAGTCACCCAGGATGTTGTCAGTTTTGGGGAATCCAGAGGAAGATTCCAAGTTGTGAGCCTCGGTCCTGGGTGAATGAAAGGATTGATCTGGAGGCAAATGGCAAGGAAGAGACCTGGGAGAGGCAGAAGCATTTTGAAAATGAGATATAGTGAGGCATGTGCAAGAGCCAGCCATGACTTCGGGTCATTCCGAGTCTTGACTTTTCCAGTGCTCAGCACACGGCCGTATTGCTGCAGGCCAGTGGAAGAAAGGAATCTGTAAGAGAAGGGAGGAACAGGGGAAGGAGCCAGAAGTGGGGAGCTGGGAGAGTGAGGCTGTGAGGAAAAAGGACAGGCCTTGAAACTGCAAAGGAAGCAGGGTCAGTAGGAAAAACTCCACGTCGCTTCAGGAGGAGGGTCATCTTCTAATAGCTAACAAAATTAATAAATATTTGTTGAGTACCTGCTACGTAGAAGGTGCTGGGATGAAAAGGAGTAGCCGAAGGTCTATCTGGGGAAGTAGGAAAGATTCATTCAAAGGTAAACATCTGAAACTCCATTCCTCTTTGCATAGCCTGTTTCATTAACTAGGGCAATTAAAAATAGCTTATAATAAAAGGAAAAAGCTAGTTTCATGCTAATATTAAATTTAATACAAATGACTTACAATCTATTTTCAAACACTAAAGGATTTACAGATTTGAAACAAATCATCCCCTTATAACCGAGCACAAATTCTGAAAACTGTGAAAGATCCTCCACCTGCATACCTCATAATTTATTCAATATGTTTGTTGAGACAGGCAGAGTCCAGCTGCTGGGGATACAAAGAAGAATAAAGACCTTGTTTTTTTCATCTAAAGGGAGAGAGGCATGAAAGGAAGCTATTACAAACCAGGGGGAGAAGGTTAATGTCCCAGAGGAGGGGCTATCCCCATTGTCAGGGATGGGGAAAGAGAGGAAGTCAGGGAGAATTTCCCTCCAGAAGAAATGATTGGGTTGGTTTAAGATGAGAAGAGTGTTCTAGGCATGAAACAGTAATGGGCTTGGGGACCTTGTGAGCATCCATAAAATTGGAGTGTAAAGGTACCTGGTGAGGGGTGATGAGGCTGGAGGTGTAGACCTGGGTCAAGATGTGAAGGGCCTGTGGATAATGGGGGAGCCATTTAAGAACTGTGAGGGGAGCAACATAATCAATTTTGCGTTTTAGAAAAATCTCTTGGTTCTGGGGGATGGGTTGTTGAGCAGGGTGGATTTGAGAGGGTGAAGATTGCAGGCAGGGAGACAAATTAGGAAACCTCTGAAATAAGAAAAGATAAGGGCTGAACCCGAGCAATCAGAATGTGAATGGAGGAGAGGTGATGAGATCAAGAGCTGTCTAGGAGGTAGAATGGTAAAATACTGATGTCCAGGTGTGTATGGGAAGTACTGAGACTTGTTACCAAAACTTACAATATGGCTGCTGGATACAAAGGTAAACATCTGAGTTACTTTGCAGAGCCTGTTGCTTTACCCTGACCATTCAGAATACACTGTAGAGGAGGCGAGAGTGGTGTATTGTATCTGTTATTATTCTTAAGGCTTAATTCATATAAATGGAAATATGAGAAAGTTGTAGTAATATGTTCAAAGAAATAAAAATAAAATCTTATATGCAATAAAATGCATATTTTTAATAAGTTTGGAGAATGCAAAGCAACATATATTTATAACTGTATTACGAGTATTATGAATTTCTTACAATCTAATATTGAATTCTACATTTGCACCTATAGTTGAGTATTTACCCTCTTTGGGTGATTTCTTTTTCAGCTGTGAAGCCCTTTAAAACTAAGTATTGAAATAAACTGAATTTAGAACCAGACATTACCAAATATTAAACCAAGATTTTAAAAGAGTAATAAAATATATCCCATCATGTTTTTCTCTGAAACCTTTAATAACAGTTTTAGGAAGAACAAACATGTTTTGCTACCATTCATACCTAAAACAAAAATTATTTTTAAAATATTATTTCATCATGATCTCATCTTTATAAAATTTTCATTTTTGTATATTCTATAAGGTATTCAATATATTAATATGGTATTACATGTGTGTAATTTATAAAGATATGTACTGTTAAAAAATGATTAAAAAAGACAATATAGGTGATACAAGCAAACTATTTAATACTTCATGAAGTGGACAGTCTCCTTTTGGAGAGCTGCAAAATGATGCAGAAGACAAGAAGCTTTTCTTTTTGTGAGGAAGATTAGCCATGAGCTAACATCTGTCGCCAATCCTCCTCTTTTTGCTGAGGATGATTGGCCCTGAGCTAACATCCGTGCCCATCTTCCTCTACTTTATATGTGGTGCGCCTGCCACAGCATGGTTTGATAAGCGGTGTGTAGGTCCATGCCTGGCATCTGAACACTGGGCAGCCGCAGCAGAGCACACGCACTTAACTGCTACGCCAGCGGGCTGGCCTGACAAGAAGCTTTTATAGGGTAAAAGAATAAAGAGCAAGGAAGAGAAAAATAGAAAATACCTGATTGTTGGCTGGGGCCACATAGTCAACCTTGTTTGGGTTGAGAAGGCACAGAGTTGGCTTGGTGTTTGGGGATTGGCTGACTGGATATATTGCGTGTCTGGTCAAGCGGAGTATTTTCAGGGACATGAAAATTGTGTGTTTGCTGACATGGCACTCTGGGCAGGAGTGGCTCCATCTGGGGTCTAGAAAGTTTCAACAAGACAATAAAATTAAATAAAAAGTAAATGATGAAGGTATGTGTTCAGAAATGTTTTACTCTTGGGGTGAGCCATTAAACGGTTTGGAGACGCTGGCCTGCACGATAACGACCAAAGTCCTTTTCTGGGCCCACTGGACCCCTTGATATCTGATCACGTCTGGCACTATGTTCCCCAGTCACTTGGGACCTCTTGCGGTCTCTGTAACACGTTGCGATCTTTTATCAGCTTCTGCGAACTCATGTAGACTTTGCCTTCTATGTGGAGTGCCCTCTCCTGCTTGTCTGACACCAGTTCATCTTTGAAAACACAGTTCTTAAGTCACCTTCTTTCTGAAGCTTCTGCAACTCTTACAGATTTAAATATACTTCCCCTGTGATGCCTCTGCGCCTTTTATATTTAAAAATTGTCCTTATTATGGTTACATAGTTATTTATTTTCACATTTGTCTCCCCTTCTAGATTGTTAGTTACTTGGAGACTGTGTTCCTGGCTTTTCTTCTTTGAATCCGTAACACCTAACACTAACACTAAAAATAAATGTTTACCGTATTGATTTGTATTGAGTTATAGTGCACATTCTAGATATATTTCCATTCAAATTAACTGAAGTACACAACCATGAACTGGCTCCATATCACGTTTTCCCCTATTTGTGCCTTGACGTTCAAGAGATTGCATATAAAAATACAGTATCTTATTTCTCTTTTCTTTGATAAAGCCCTCTGAGACCAAAGCGAAGGCAATTGAAAAGATTGATGATCTTCTTGACTTATACATGGGAATTCGAGATACTGATTTAGGTAAGATTGTACTATTTTAAAAAGTCTTATATTTCTTAATTTGATAGAACTTAATGCTTATTTATGTCTTGCTTGCATTTATAGCCAATTATACTTTTTACAATAAAAGGTATTTATGGAGTGATAAAAAGCATAATGAAAATAAAGATAATAAATTATAATGAAAAGAAGACCTAGCTGATACCTTTTACTATCTGTAAGACTTAGAGTCAAGTCAACTTTTCTAAACTTCAGTTTTTAATCTATAAACTATAAATAATAGTATTTCCTTCATAGGCTTGTTTTATGGATTTAAAAAATATATATGATGATGGATGTTAACTAGACTTATTGTGATCATTTCATAATATATACATATATTGAAAAAATATATATGAGAAGAATTTTGTAAATGATACATATAATAGGTATTATTATTTGATACATATTTTATCATATATTATTTGATACAGATTTACATTGACTAAATTGTGTATTTATTATGATATTAAAGTTGTGCACCACTTAATAAGGTTACTGAAACCCTGTGACCAATGAATCAGAAATATAAAGGAAGAAGACACACTTGGCGTATGACTAATAATGGCAGTTAGCAGTTGAATTTCTGTGTATTTCTTATGTCAATCATTAGGATGTCAAGGTCTTGATATTTCAATTAAGACTTGATCAGTTGCAAATAACAAACAAAACAAAACCCAACAAACCTAACTCCAACTGGCTTAAGGGAAAAAAAGGGAGAAATGTTTTGGTTCTTATAACTGAAAAGTCCAGAGGTAGATCCTGGCTTCAAGAATGATTAGATCCAGAGTTCTCATGCTATGATCAGGATGTGGTTTCTCTTCTCTCAATTCTGACTTCATTTCAGGTCCCCGTGGTATCCCCTGGCAGCTTCAGGCTCTCCCTCATGGAGCCAAAATGACTGCCCTGGCTCCACCCTCTACATCTTGGTGGCAAGCACAATGGGAGAGAGGGAGGGCCTTTTCCAAGTCATTCAAACAAGATGCTCTTGGGATTATTTCTGATTGGTCTGATCGGCTCACTTGAGGCCAGGGGGATGGTTAGGTCTGGGTCAAATGCTCTGTCTCTGGAGCTGAGAGTGACTGAAATACAAGGGCTGAGGTTGTGAAAGGCCTGGCCTCTCCCATGCAGAAGCAAGATAAGATGTTCCCTTAAGAAGGGCAGGTGGAGGTTGGGTGGGGAAAGGGAGAGTGTGCACTATAGCGGTGGGGTTTGTGCCGCACGCATCCATGCGTGTGTGCGTGTGGGTGTGTTTGTATCAGGTACTTCATAAACTTTTTAAAGTCAGCGACTTGCACTATTTTGTTTACCTGCTACCAGGTAAAGTATTTTACTCCAGCTCAGCTACGGGTATTTAAAGCTCACTTCCTTTTCTACTTCCACTCATCTTCCTTTTTCCTTATAGAGTTATTCTTATTTTTTTCTTGCCTGTCTGGACTTTTAAAATAAAATTTCTATGTGGATGTACACATGATGTCTGTAATTGAAAAAAATTGGTACTCTGTTTCTAGCTCCTTAAAAAGAATTATAAAATTTTCGTATAATGGATCCTTGCTCCACACAGACAAGAAGTTAAAGCTGAGATGATCCTATAGAAACCCAGTGTCTTATTTTTTTATTTTTTATTTTTTTTTGTGAGGAAGATCAGCCCTGAGCTAACATCCGTACTAATCCTCCTCTTTTTGCTGAGGCAGACTGGCCCTGAGCTAACATCTATTGCCAATCCTCCTCCTTTTTTCTTTTTGCCCCCAAAGCCCCAGTAGATAGTTGTATGTCATAGTTGCACATCATTCTAGTTGCTGTTAAACCCAGTGTCTTAAAACTTTTCTCCCCAACCCTTTTACATTTGGGAAAATATAGAGATTTGCATAAATGATATGGGCCTGTGACAGTTATGCAAATTAATATGCAAATAAGATTCTAAAGGAGATTTAGAAATGCCAGTGCTCTTAAACTCAGAGTAGGAAGTATTTATTGGAAAAATAATATGATATATCTCTATCCAGTTAAGAAGTTTTCAAATAGTATAACTATGACTATTATAAGATTGAGGAACTAGCATATCAATTGCTAGATCTTGATGAGCTTTAGCAGAACCACACTTTTCAAAGGTGAGAACTTAAAACAGTGCTCAACTTTAGAACTTAATTTTGAGTATTGGTCTTATAGTTACTTAAGTGTAAATTGGGAGGAGTTAAATAAATTAGTTTTGCTCTTTTGTTATTAAAAATATGCACGTGTACAGGAAGAGCTTTGGACAATGGAACAAGTAATTATAAATGAATTAAGAAACAATTCTTTAAGAATCACTTTTCTTTCACTCTGACAAATTTAGAGCACTAAACATTCCTCATGAATTCCTTGTAAATTAACTAGTTAATCCCTTTGTAAAGTTATTAATCATCTGTAGCAAATTCCTCCAGTGACATGAAAAGTCATTATCATTATACATGATTAGCAATATGGTCACCTAGGGAGGTAAAGTTTAAGGAAAGTAATTATTTGAAGAATGTCAACCATTGTTAAATTAGGAATTTCTCTCATTATTCAGATCTGATTAGCATGAAATATAAATCACAAATGTGACACTAATTCAACAGACAAATGAATATTTACTTGTTTGTATTCCCAGAGTTTCTTAGCTTTCAGAAATGTTAAATCTTAATGCAAATTACATTGACATCACGTTATTTTGGAGTTGTTAATATAAGTTTTTATTAAAAATTTAAAAAATACTATGGCAATAAAATGACTAAAACCAAAACACTATCCTCAGAAAAGCATTGGGATATATTTACCATGTGAAAATGGAAAATAACTCAAATGAGTTTATGTAGGAAGTAATGCTGAAGTGACAGTGCTTCGTTTGTTTGTAAAGTTGTGAACTATGACTTTTCAACCGACCAATTGCCAACATGGGTTGCCTTGGAATGTTATCTATGGATGGAAAATGGTTTCTAGAAGATTTTGAGTCTTGTAAGACGTTATATGGGATTGACCTACTTAATAGAAAGTTGTATCATATAAGTTTCATCATGAATATTTAATGCAACTGTATAAATTGTATATAGAACTACAATATTTTCTGATGATACCAACTTGGGAGTTTGGAGATCATCCTAGTAACTTCAGAATTTTAGGATTTCTAATTTATTAAGAGATCCAGAAATGTGTAGAAAGGAAATTTGAATGATAGTTCCTAAGTCATTTTTTCCTATAAAATCTTTTATGGTTCTTTTAAAAGTATATGATAATTTTATTTTTTATTTTTATTTTTTTGTGAGGAAGATCAGCCCTGAGCTAACATCCATGCTAATCCTCCTCTTTTTGCTGAGGAAGACCAGCTCTGAGCTAACATCTATTGCCAATCCTCCTCCTTTTTTCCCCAAAGCCCCAGTAGATAGTTGTGTGTCATAGTTGCACATCCTTCATGTTGCTGTATGTGGGACACAGCCTCAGCATGGCCGGAGAAGCGGTGTGTCAGTGTGCGCCCGGGATCCAAACCCAGGCCGCCAGTAGCGCAGCGCACGCAGTTAACCGCTAAGCCACCAGGGCTGGTCCATATATGATAATTTTAATAGAGATAATTACATTTCTTCCTAGGATGATTTTCTTTTTTCAGTGAATTCAAAACAGTGAACACCACAAAAAGTCATCCTTCTCAGATAAATCCAATGAAGTTTTGGAAGTAGATTTCATTTAAAAAACATTTGATATTGGCTGTGTTTTGGTGTTAGACTCGTGTGTGAGTTGCTTGAAATGGGTTGATATTTATGAAAAGTCATAGAGAAAGTCAGTGCTGAAGACCTTCCACAGAAAGAGATACAGTTACAGATTTAATGGCTAAGTTAACAATGGTGATGACTAATCTTTATCTAAACCCTGCTGTGTGCCATTTTATAGATCTGAAAGCAGATTCAGAGAAGTTTGGTAACTTGCTCTGTCAGCTAACAAGTTAAGAGCTGAGATTCAATTCTGGGCCTTTGATACCAAGATTTTTCACCTGCAGTAATATGTTATGTCTAAAAGTTCTGTTTACGTATTTAAAACTTAGTGGAAAATGTAGACTGACCTATGTCACCAAAATAAGTTTGTCATTAATAGTGTAACAGTTGTTCAGTAGTGGTAATGATATAAAGATATTCTCAACATGGCCACTAGAGGTCAGCACTTAGCTGCTATTTGTGGTATAACAATTCTAAGTGGAATATTTTTTGACAGATTATATTCAGGTGTTAAATATTATTGCAGTATACTGCAGATCTATTCTGGTTAACAGATTATAAGCATTTTAGTAGCTGTCATTATGTTAATGTGATATAACTTTCTAAAAGGTATTTCATTTTGCTAAAGTTTCTTTTGCTTTTCTCTTAAATCAGAGATACAATCTTTTATCAAAAAGGATAAAATTACACCAGTTTATTTCTCCTGTAAGGATGTTGAAATATATCTTTATGCATTAGCAAAAATTTATAATATGTTCAGTGCATGCCCCATTCTTAATTTCTTTCGAAATACATGTGCAAATTACTGATTTGTAGAAGATCTCTGGAGCACTGTATTACATACAATATTTCCAAAACAATTATGAAGCTGCCTGATTGGTGTTTTTGTTGCTTCTACAAGACCAGGAGTTCCTTGAAGGCAGATACCTTACTTGGTTTTTAATCCCAGCTTCTACCACAGTACCTCTCCCAGAGTAAATATTTGGTAAATGTTTATTGACCTAATGTCTGTTGAGAGGCACAAAAATAGTGAATTCACAGCGAATATGAGTCCTAATTTCATTAGTTTGAAGCTTTAGCCCTTGGAAAAATTACTAAACTTTGAGCCTTAATTTCCACACCTGTAAAAGGGTGGCACAATGAAACAACTTGTAGAGTTGCCAAGGCATCAAATTAAATAATATGTATAAAGTTCCTGTCATGTCATAAATTATAGCTGCTATCATTCTTGGCAGTGATCACTAATGTTCATTACTAGTAATAGTGGTCGTGGTAGTAGAGGTAGACAGAACATGTTGGACTGTATAACTGCAGGTCTGACCAACTCTGGGACTGTATTGGGTGTGGGAGTTTTTCTTCACTTCTCTGCTGTGCCAGCCTGAATGCATGAGTGTGACTACACAGTTTGGACTGTCAGGTTATAGTATGGCCATCTTAAATCATATTTTTCTCATTTTGTGACTGAGGAGCCCAAACCAGAGATGCGAGGCAGAGCAGGCCAGGTGCAGCATATATTGCTCCTGGATCCCATCTCGCATCACTGTGGCTGCTGTCCTCCACCTCGCCCGTGGCCTCCTTACCACACTGGCACTCGCACACCCCCCACATGGAGGCCCTCCTGCCTTACTTAGATCCCTGCACCAGCTCCCCATCCATATCCCACTTCTGCTCTGATCGTGATGCTCTTTTGTGGGCCACTGTCTTCCCCTAGCCTGCCAGTGTTAGTACTGACTTGTTTGAGAAGAGGAATAGTTCTTGAATGCTCTTAAGAGCCCCATGGATTTTAGCTGCAAGACCAGATCTCTGGCTCATTCAGAGAAACCATACAACCTTTGATTCGTTCAACCTTCACCTGGGAGGAAAGGAGAGGCTGGAGCTTTTCTCTTGGGCTTTGGCATTTCCTTTCTACCTTGTTTCTTCACCCAAGTCCCAAATCACATTCATACTATCTCTTTGTGGTTGCTAGTGCTTATAGGGGGCTGAGAAAGAACCAGCTGAGTCTCATGGGCTTCTAGCCAGTGGGGGCAGGTCCGCTGGGAACGTGTACTCCTGAAGATGCTGGTTCCCCAGACAGAGAACATGGTGCCTAGGCAACTTATTAGAAAAACAGAACAAGGGCCCCACTTTCACTTTCTATCCCAAACTGGAGAAGGGGTCAACAAAAAATTGCCTTGATGCCGTAAGTAGACAGATATCTTCCTCCCCTTCTCCCTAGCTTGATTGCTCCATTGCAAACTGTTATCCTCTGTCTTTTTTTGGGGAGGAAGGACTAGACGCCATTGTAGTCAGGGGTGGGGGACTAGTGGAGGGGCAGAGAGAGTCAGTGACTATGGGGAGGTGGGTAAGGATGCACTTGGAATTTTCTGCCAGGGTTAGCCACAGGGTCTTTTAGGAGCTCTTGTTCCACCCATTGGAATACTAGAGGTTCCCAACTGGTGGGCTCCAGGGTGGAGGAGAGGGCAGAGGTGGCAGCTGCAAAGCTGGGTGCAGTGGACAGACTGTTTAAAAATGTCTTTTCTACCTTGGTATGTGATAGAGAGTATCATTGTAATTTGTACTAGAAATATATGATATGTATGCATGTTACTTTTAGAAAGTAATTTTCCTGGTGCCATTTTTCTCAGTCCTGTGATGTTGTCTGATTAATTTTTAAAAATTATTTTTGATAGCTACCACAATGTTTGACGCTGGAAAGGACAAAGGCAATCCAGATGAATTTGCTGTGGCTCTTGACGAAGCTCTCGGAGACTTCGCATTCCCAGATGAATTTGTCTTTGATGTTTGGGGAGCCATCGGTGATGCCAAACGAGGATGATTGGGATGTGGAGATCCATCTCTGGAGAAATGAACCATTGTTCCTTCTTAAAGATCTGCTTTTAGACACTGTTACGGACTCTGGTTTATGTGTATAGAATACAGTCTTTGAAGTATAATTTTGATTTATGGGTACTTTTTAATGCAGCTGCATATGTAGTATACTTAAGATAAATTACCTAAAATATGATCAGTTTTAATATTCATTCAAAAGTTTTTAAAAGTAAGTTTTAGGGAGTATTTCTAGGTAAATGATTTTGCTCCCCATTAACATCCATGTTTTGTTTTCCACATATAAGTAGTTGATTGCAATAGCTTTGTAGTTCTTTTGCAAAGTCTTAATGCAGTGAAAATTAGGATTGGAGTAGGATTTGCCTCATAGCATCTTCATTTTGTTATAATGGCTTGAACAGGATATGTTCAGTAAACGAAATGTGAATTATGCTTCCTATAGGTCTAGAAGTGTTGTTGTTTTTGATCCACTGAGTAAGGGGAGGAAGATTCCTATAGCCTGTTGATGTCTGTGGCCTATTTTCTCTCTTTGTAAAACAAGGATTGATTGATTTTTTTTTTTTGCTTCTTCGCAATTGCTTCCTAAAATTTGTTGAAATCTGTGGTGCTGTATATGTGTTTGCATGTGTGGAATAAGGGTGAAAAAGAGGCAGGTAAAGTAGAAACCATTCATATTTGATTTTTTTAAAGCAGTTCCTAAAACATTATTTCTTTTTCCACCCATACCTACTTTTCTGTTACTCTTTATAAGCACCCCAAGGAAGGTTTTTATAGTCTTTGTAGAACTTTTCTTTTGAAAGATATTTACTCAGAAAATAACTATGTTTGAGAACTTTTTTTCGGTTAAAGAGCAACGCTTTTAAGCCCCCTAAACTTTAAAGGAGATACTATCAGAAATAGATTTTCCCCCAGTGGAAATAAAAGAGGAAGAGAGAATTGAGAAAATATATTCGCCTATTATTTTAGAGTTCTAACATTCTCTGTCTAAAACCTTACATTATTGAGAAAATTGAGGGTAAATGGCTGTCTTATCACTCTTATTTGACATTTTACAGATATAAGAGAAACGGAAATGAATGGTTTCAACATAGATCATTTAATAAGGCAGAGCATGGTGTGACCAGGCATTCTTCTCTGTGCTGTGACCAGGAAAATGCTGTGTGCTGCCATGGTAGTCAGAAATAATGACCTGTGAGGGCTATATTCTAGGAAATCAGAAATAGTTCCATTTTCACTCTGGGTTAATACCTGGATGACTGTTGTTTTCTGGTTCGACTTCACTTTTCCTGCCACCCACTCCCCTTTCACCTAAATTTGATGTTATGAAGCTGATATTCTTTGTCTCATTAATCTGAAACCAGCACAGAAACTGATTTAGTCATTAATGTGTAACAAAAGTAGTTGATAGAATGTGGGTTGTTTTATTGCTCTTGCCCATTGTTTGAAAGCAGGATCCAGCTCAGGCTGTAATTTGTTGCTACTTGTGTAGTGGATTTCTCTGGGAGGACCCAAAATACCTGTTAATTCTTAATACCACTTCTCTTAGAAGGACACACAAAAACAGAGTTGATATTTTTAGTGATGGGAAAGTTATTGGATAACTTAGGAGGCCCATAGAAACATTTTAGTTTAAACAAAAAGTAAATTTCTTGGCACTAGAAGTTAGATTTGAAATGATGAGTCATTGTTTATTATTGATGGATGTCAGTTTCTCCTTCCTTTCCGGGTATGAGTGAAGACTGATACTTTGTGTGGATTCCCTGTGATTTATGGAATCTCATATTCACAAAGTGGGTCTGCTCGCCATGATCTTTCTGGAATTTTGATATGTATGGTATTGATGTCCATGTACAGCTGTAACTGCAACTTGCTTGTTAGCGTTAAATGGGCAGTTATCATTATTAAGGGCTCCAGCTGGGCACAGGTGCTTTAATACTAATGGATTTTTCCTTGAAATGTCTTTATCTCTCACCTTTATTGCTAAACTGATAACGAGGTCAGTTTCTTTATGTCATTTTGTTCCCTTACGTGAAAAAATATTTATCTGTAAACTTTGTGCCTTTTTGTAACTCTCAGTGCCCAACAGTAATCAGTTAACCTCTGTGGCCGTTATATCCAATATTATAATGTGACAGATAACTAAATAGAACTTAATTTTTCCAATGATGTTTAATTTGCAATATTTTCTCCTGTAACTTTAACAAATAGACATTTTCCAGGTAAAGCACACTTTATTTAGGTCCATGTTATTGCTAGACCTTCATCAAGTCTAGAGAGAGCTTTCCTGGTATTGTTCAGTTATCATTGCCTACCTAGCACAGTAGCAAAATGAATTTCATCTGCAAACGGAGTTTTCAAAAGAACAGTTCGTCTAAATAGAGCACAGTTATCCACCAAAGATGTAAAAGATTGATCATATAATGACCCTTTTACTTTCTGGTACATCTAAAAATATACGGATACCAATAGCATTGCTATTATTCTGGTGGAAGTACTAGGATAGAAGGACTGTTAAGTATTTTCCTCAAGCTATAAGTGAATAAAGAGATAGGAGGTGCTATTCAACTCACAGGCTCAAGTATTAGTGCTTGTGTAAAAAGCACATTTATTATCTTCTTGATACAGATTGGAAGAGAGAGCAGAATAATTGCAAGTCTTTTCACGTCATGGTTATAATATGTTTCTAAGATTGTGCAGCGTACAAGTGGCACAGCCTGTCCCTACCTATTACCTGAAAACCTAGTTCTAAGAAATGACTCATGGTTATTATCTAGGAGGGTGAAAGCTGAATGTGACATCTTTATTTCCGTTGGAGACGTTAAGTCTCTATAAGACTTAAGTATAGCCTTAGGTACTTTTTAAGTACTAACAAAATGGAGAAATTAAAAAAAAATTTCTGAAAGATAGTTTTAAGTAAACGTTTTATATTTTGAACTGTTTGTGTCATGCAATAGTATTGACTATGTACATATAAAATATTCTACTTTTTTGAAAAGAAAAAGAAAAAAGGTTTTCTCTTTTGTAAAAATCATAGCGTATACTTTGAATGTTTTTTGAGATTCAGTTTTGGGAAGTTGATTAATCTATATGTGGAATTGTAAATTATATTTTGATATTGCTTCAAAATATATTATTTGCTGTATTTCTACTTATATTGATCAAAAAGTGAATTGTTTGTGAAGCTATAATAATTTTATAATATTTCTTATATTTAAAATATGACTCCTTAAAATAAAAACCTTTTCGTGAAAAAAAGTGATGACTGTTTTTATCATAATAAAATAAAGATTTGTTTTTGTTTTTTTTTTTTTTTGATGAGGAAGATCAGCCCTGAGCTAACATCCATGCCAATCCTCCTCTTTTTGCTGAGGAAGGCTGGCCCTGAGCTAACATCCATGCCCATCTTCCTCCACTTTATATGGGACGCCGCCACAGCATGACCCAACAAGTGGTGCGTCAGTGCGCGCCTGGGATCCCAACCCAGGCCGCCAGCAGCGAGCGTGTGCACTTAACTTGACGCCATGGGGCCGGCCCCTGGATTTGGGGTTTTAAATGTTAGACTTTTTGGTTTTGTTTGAATGAATGATGGGAATAACATGTGATTAGTTGGGCCTTTATGTTTTTAACATATGTTTGGTATATTTTTTTCTCAACGTATTTTGTACAAAGTATAATCTCTAAGGTCTCTTAGTTTTAAAATCCGCAAATTATTTGCTTTGATTCAGGAAAAATACATGAGCTATGCACTGCCACAATACTCTAAGATAAAAGAGTTATAAGCTGTTTCTATTAGAAGATGGAGGTTTACCAGGGGTGGTGCTTTCTCCTTTGTTCAACCAATTTTATGGCAGTGGTTTCCAAACAATTGTGTGAGTAAGTATAAGAAATGTAAGCCCAGAGCTCTGAGGTAGTTATGCCTTTTGGATTCATTATCTCCTTGGTATAGCTGAAGGCTCTATCAGAGCTATTAGAAATCCTTACAGATATCATGCTAATTCCATATGTTTGGGGGTTGGGTCTAGGAAGCTGCATTTTGACACGTCCTCCAGATGATTCCAATGGAGGTGAGTCTTGGACCTTTACTTTGAGGTCTCTGAAGGTCCTGGCCTTGCACTAGGGAGGAACAATAGATATAACTTCAAGAACGCAGGATCCATCAAGGTAAACAGAGACATGAAAGAGATCGCTAATACGATCAGGTAAGTGCTAAAATGGATGTGGGTCATGTGGGAAAAAGCTACATGTAGACAGTAGGCTTTCTTTTAATTTCACTAGTGGGTGATTTTCTAAATCTATCTTGGTATGCTAGAAGAATTTATCATAGAGAAATAGACTTCCCAATTGACACACTATGCATTAACCCAGATGATGGTTTTGCCTCATTTTACGTGCGCTATTGGACACTTACCATTGATAGAAATAAATATTGCCTATTTATCTCACCCTTATTAGTTATTTTATCCTCTTCCAGTTTTGCAGATGAGGATCCTCTGAAACTATGGTTTCTAAAGAACATTTTTGCTTTTAGTAGAACGGAATGGACGTGCATGAGAAGAAGTTACTCTCAATGGGAGTAACTTCAGTGGGTGCTGTGGTTTTGATTATGGAAAAGCTAAGCTTGTAAAAATGCTACTTGAATTCTCCCTGTCTAGATTTTTCTTTTAGCAAGGTCCCTTCCTGTAGGGGGTAGAGCGTAGAACGTGATTCATGCTTCGTTATTTTATGTGTCATCTAAAAATATGTGGGAAATAATGTTTATGATTAAAAACAAATTATAGATCTAGTGAATTAATTTAGCTTTGAAAAAGTAGTTTCTCTAAAAGTTAGAATTTCTACCCTCTTGTAGTTCAGATAGGTTATTATAAAAAGAATTTGGTTTGTTTTAATTTTATTTTAACAGCTTTCCAGTGAAAAGTAAACAGAAATATAAAAATGAAATAAATCAGACTTTCTTCCTCATAAAACACTTCCCCTTCTGCAGTGGCACTGGAGAAAAATGAGGAAATAAAATCCTGCACATTTAAGGTATTGTGGAAGAACCAAGGGATAACGTTAGTTTTGGGAGAAGGATAATGGCAACATCGTAGTCATCTTCCTGCAATGTTCTTCCCTCCTCTCCACTCCGTCCTTTCCGGGCTCTTTCTTCACCACCAAGCTCCACACCTGGGGGTTCCTCAGTCTACGGATTGGGTTCCTATCCCCCGCTCTGCCCTCTTAGGTGACTCATCCATTCTTGTGGCTTTAAACATCTTTGTATTTACAACTCGCAAATTTGTATCTCCAATTTGGGCCTCTCTTCTGAGCTTATTCTCAGATATTCAACTGCTTACTTGATATCTCCACTTGGTGTTTCAAAAATTTAACATGACTAAGATGAAACTTTAGATTTTTCTTAAAAGTCTTATTTCCTCAATGTTTTCCTGACAGGAAGTGGCGTCATAAATTCAACTCACTGTTCCTTCACCTACTGTGTCTAATTCAGTAGCAAGTCCTTTTCATTGTATCTCCAAATATATCTCCCGAATATATCCACTTCTGTCCAGCTCCACTGTCGCCCATTCAATCCACACCTCATTTCTCGTCTGGGCTGCGACCACAGGCTCTGCTGCTTTCCCTCATTCCGTTCCCGCCCTGCTCCCTTTGTATTTTGCACAGTGATGAGGGGGCTCTAAAAATGTTCATTGTAGGACAGGAGTGCTCAGCTTTCTTTAAAGTGGAAATTTCAGTGTCTCTCTTCCTCTCTGGAAGGGTTTGACATTAAGTTTTTTCTCTCTTTGAGGAAAGGGGCACTAGTTTTTGGATGATTCAGTTTCTACTCAAGGGCCCACAGAGTCTTCTGTGAAGGAGAAGGAAGGAGGTGACAAGAGGAAGAACTTTCACAGGTGTAGACTAACGACTGTAAAGAGAGAGAGGGAATGAGAGAGAGAGAGTGTGTGTCTGTGTGTTGGTGAAGGGGGAGGGAGAGAGACGTCTTTAGAGGCCCAACAGAGGAGGACTGTGTCTTGTTTTCCTGCAGGCGTGTTATGGGTAGATGGAGTGTTTAGACCGACAGGAACAAAAGCTTTCAGAAGATTCCTGATCTCTGGTCATGGCACACAGGCAGGAAGACTCACAGTGAGGGGTGATGTTTGACCATCACTCTGTGGAAGCTTGAGTCCACCAGCTGTCACAGAACCAGCACTTCCCACCCCCTGTTTGTTTCTATCATCGATGTTTGGTGAGGATTTTGTCAGCAGTGTTGCCTGTTATTGTCTGGCAGGAGTATCACCCCATCAGCCTGAACCTCTGGCTTATTCCTCTGGGTACGCTGCTCCCAGGCTCTTTTTTTCAGTGACGTGACCCACACACATAAGCCTTAGAAAAGAGAGGTGGACCCTTGGATGCCTGGGGAGTCGTGGGGGAAACCTTTGCTTTGGTGCTTGGCAGGCTGACCTGAACCAGCTCAAGTCTGCTGGCTGGGATGTGGGCAAGTGACCCTTTCTGCTCCATGTTAGTGGGGTCACATCACTCCCCTTCAGCTCTTTACAGTGGCCTCCAAAGCTCTGCCTGCCTCACTGCCATGCTCCCCCAGCTCTGTGCTCTGGTTACATCGAACTTTCTTTTCACTTCCAAGCTCTGAGAAAGCTCAGAGCTTTTTCAC